TTATCTTACCTAAAGACCCAGCCTCCTACTGCGCTTCATCCCCCATGCACATCCCCATGCAGGCAGGAAGGAAGAGCCAGGCATCCCCCAGGCACATCTGGCCCGGGGGCCCCCAGTGCTGCAGGGTGGGCACGGGGTGCCATCCCGCAGCGTGTGCTGCCAGCCCCCTCTTGCGCTGTTGCTGCAGAACGGCCTTGGCGAGGCACAATGGAGCCAGAGGCTTTTGTGCAAGAGGTCGCTGACACCCTGCTCCCTCGGGGGGTGAGGCTCAGGCTTTGTAAGCAAAAAGGTTGGAAGAAACAAACCTCAGGCCAACGGAGACACCCTCCCCCCCCCCCCCCCTTCATAGACCTGTGCATGCACCCAGTTATACACAGCCATGGTGACCGAGGCAGGTTTGCACCTCCATCCATTCCAGTTCTCAGACCCAGCAGCTTCAGCCAGAAGCAGAGTGGGACCCAGTTCTCCTCTTTGGTGCAAAAGAAGGCGGGTTTAAAATGTCATATAAGGCATGCCATGGGAGGGCTGGGTGGTGGGTTTGTTTGCTGCAAGGCAGGGGACCCTGGTTTAGCTTGGGAGGGGAGCCCTGCTTAATCAAGGAGAGGTGGGACTGGGGAAGGATGATCAGTAATGCCTGCTCCAGCTGGGGCTCAGCAAGGAAAGGAAAGCTCTGTTCCCCCCAACCCAGACTGAAATCAGCACCTCAAAGGCCAGTGCTGGGAAGTACCTGAATCTCACCCTATCGTGTATGGCTGGGGACAGCTTCTCCTTGCATCAAGACAGAGGAGCCCAGAAACAACCCCATCGCATTCTTCAGGCATGGGCATGTCCCAGGAGCAAAGCTGGGCTGAAGCAGGATAGGGCTGGAGAGCTGCTGCCAGCAGAGATCACACCCTGGTCCACAGCAGAAGAGGAAGGTCAGTGCGGGACCCAGCACGGAGATCTTGGCATCTACGTGCCTGCACAACTGATGAGCTTCAGCACAAAACCCTCCGTGGGGGGATGAGCAAACAGAACTAAACATGGTAATTTATTCACTCCATGAAAAAATATTAGTTAATCCAAGCCAATGAGATTGTAAAGCCTGATAACTGGCCTGGCTGATGCCAACATCTAGCGCTAGCAGCACTTGTGTTTTTTGTCTCTGCTGTTGCCCTAGGCAGTGAGATGCAGCAGCAGCATGACAGCTCCCAGCCACACATGGTAATTCAAGAGAGAAAACACATCTTATTTCAACTCGGAACCAGAGCAGAACAGTTAAAAAAAAAAAATCAAGACAACTTGCAAAAATTGCTGTAGCGAGCAGTGACACTCTGCAGAACTTATTTGCAAGCCTGTGCTGTGCAATTTGAGATAAAAACTGTTTAATGAAATGAAGGATGAGCACTGCTTGTTTGCTTTGCAACACCACTGCTGTGCAGGAATACCAGCAGGCCAAAGCAAACACTGAAAGCTGAGCGATCCCACTCCAAGTACCTTCACCCAGAGTTTGGTCTCAGTGACTGCTGCCCTTTCACTTGCAGCCAAGTGTAAGTGCTTGGATTGGGGCTCCAGGGTCTGAAAACTATTCATTTTTTAAATTATGTAAGCCATATAAAGCTGTCACTTTGATTCACAGCTCATCACAGAGGTGATATTTGGGTTTGCAGTATTCAAAATAGCTATTGTGAGTTTTTGCATTCCTTTGTTCAACATCTTCAAGAACAGAAATGTCCCTCTAGACTCCATGCCCACTTTCAAGTGCACAAAGGCACATCCCCTCCTGCTCCGAAGGCTCTGGGAGACGGGTTGCAGCAATCCCATGACACCTAACTGCAGCCCTGGAGGAAAACAGGGCCCACGTGAAGCTCACCCTGCAGGAAGGCAGCGCTGGTTTCAAATGTATCATGCTGCTTGCTTCTCCTGCTTGTTTTTCAATTGCATGGGGAGGATGTTAATGACTGTCTGAGCCATGGCAGGCAAGCCCAGGGCATTTCAAACGTGGAAGAACTTCACAGAGAAATAATCTGCATAAAATCTGAGATGCCATTATTAAGAAGGAGAAGAAAATGCAAGCAGAAATCATCCTCCCTCAGCAGCCGAGAGGGGCGAGAGAAGAATGGTTCTACAGAGAAAGATGTATTCATTTGATCCATTATTTATATAAAGTGTTCTTTGTAAATCTGATTTCCTGTCACCCTGGATGACAGCAGGGGGAAGACAGGAAAAGAAGAGGTCCAACTTCATACCTCCGAGGGAAAGACAGCCTGTCTGGACATACTTAGGGTCTCAGAGGGAACAAGCTCTAGTGCCATGGGAGGCGAGTGCCATCCCAGCCAGTGACACACCAGCAGGTGGGCAACAGCTCACCAAACACCCCTGCACCTAAAGGTAGGAGCTCTGGGGTTCTAAGCAGGCATTTCCTTCCTTTTCAAGGTGGATGCACTACAAAGTTCTTGTTGTCTCATTGAAACTGCTTAAGCCACTGAACAAACCCACTAAAAATAAAAGCATTTAATATGGGGTTTTCACATGAACACACAGAAAGGCAGCAGTCTGAAACAGTACATACATAGCATATATAAATAAGGACAAAGATTAAAAAACCTTTGGAAATGACAGACTCTGGGAACAGTTAGTGGCTGCTCTGGGAGAAAACATCCTTGTGAGTCACTGCACAGGGCAGACAAATGAGACACATTCAGGCATGACTAAAACTTCTCTGTGCCTGAGACAGCATGAGCACATTGGGGCTGCAACAGCCAAGGGTCCTAGAGGCCAAATCTGTTAGCCACCCCCCCGCCTCAGCATTAGGTGCACACCACCACGGGCTGAAGCCCAGGGTACCAAACCCCTCCTGGGACAGCTGTCTGGACACTGCATGCACCCCTTTAGCAGGGGAGGCATCTGAGACATGCAGAACACCAGGCTGATGCCCCATAGATCATTTTTCTTCTTCAGATTTCTGCTGTGCCAGAAGCCAGAGTCCCTGAGCTACAGCCAGTATGGGGATAGAAGAGTGATGCTCCTCTTATCCATATGGAGCAGTGTATTTAGTCTTAACAGCAAGACTGCCTTGCAAGCAGACACCCATAAAGAGGTACATGCTCAAGTAAGCTAGGGGAAATGGGGAGAGGAGGGATAGGATGAGCAAATACTTCCCCCAGCAGCTACCCCTGATGCAAGTAAGAGCAGAGGTGGCAAGACCAGACTCAGCTCCCCCTGTGCAGCTGCTCAACCTTCAGTTCTGCCTCATCTTTGTTCAGAGGCAAAGCAGAGATCCCCAGGTCTCCACCAACAATGGACTGCAGGGGCAGGGTAGAAGTGCAGTCAGCAACACACATGGTGCCCTTTGAGGAGCACATAGACAGCTTCAGCCTCCTGAGGGAATGATTACAGACACATCCAAAAAGCACATACTACTAACCACAGCAAACAGCCTCTGCCCTTCCTCACAGCATCCTCGCCTGCCCAGTTCCTGAAGAACCAGCTCACTCTTTGCTGCCACAGAGGCTCCTAACACCAGCTACTCCCATCTCACACATCTACAGTCCCACTACCCTCTACATTTTCGAGGCAGCTCCTCCAGTTTGGGGTCAGGCTGGGGACAGTCACCCCTGGTAAAGTACCAGGAACATCCCTTTGGACAGAGCAACATGAGGAACATGCTTTGTAGCTCAAAACCCCTAAAATCATGGTAAAAATGTGACAAATTCCAGCGAAGCTGCACAGGGTTCTAATGCCCTGTTTTGACAGCTCTAGCCTGTCGGACTGAACTCCCTGCTCACATCACAGTCTTCACACCTCCTGCCACCAGTTGTCTCTGAAAGCTGTCAAGGACAGAGCTCTAACTCCTGCTGGTTCTTAAAGATTAGAAGACAATTATAATTGGATTCCAGAGATTATTTGCTTCATTGAGAAGGGCTGAGAAGTGTTTAGATGGTTCCCCAGCTGATTAAATCTTTATTTCACAGTAGTGACCCTCTGTGTTTCCTACCCAAGAGTGCTTGCAGACAGGTACTTGGCAAGATTGGCTTATTGGAGCACTTTAGCTTAACAAGACCGCTGACACTAGCCAGCTGTGATGAGGGTTTATCCTGTATCTAGATGGTTTCATCTCATTTCTGTAACTCAGCCCAAAGAGCTGAATCCAGACCCAGCCCTTCCCCCAGTTTAATGACTAACTAATCAGCCAGTTGCCTGACCAGTCATTCAGATATCTTAAGCCAAAGCCTTTGGCACCATTTGCAGCTGATCACAAGTGGCTGGAGTCCTGTCTTGCCTCTCATACTGCTCATGTTGTTCCTATGCTGGACACAGCACAAGACTGCCTGCCCCAGACATCCCAGCTTCCAGTGGCTGAACTGATCTGCCCCAGACAGCCTTTGCCAGCCTCCTGCCCCGCTCAGCTTAGCCTCCCAGAGCAAACACAAAGCAGAGACAGTCCTTGCTCATCAGGCACAGCTGTGCCATGGAAACATGCAGGCAGTGAGCAAGAGCTGCCTCCAGCTCAAGCTAAATCAGAGGGATAAGTTTATTGGAGCAGTTGTTTTCCCCTGACCCCAACTGAAATGATGGCACCCAAAGCCTCTCCTCCCATGCCCATCCTGTGCTCTGTACCGTTTGTGCACTCCAGCCCTACAGGGACCGCAGGGCAGAGAGAGCCCAGAGGGGGCAGAGGAGGGCATGGCTCCAGAGGAGGCCTGGGGGTAAGGTGTCAGGATGTGGATGAAGTTTGGAGTCCATCATTCTCACTGCTAACAGAGCAGGGCGAGAAGCAAAAACAAGCCAATGCATTGAAAACTCAGCAGAAAAGCAAGAAAATCACAGCCTAGCAACATTGCAGAGAAAGCTGGGAGTGCACACAGGGCCCCGCAATGCGGAAAGCTCTCCTTGTAAGCAAGCACTCCCGCTCCTCCCAGAGCCAGCAGGTCAGACATGCTGCACAAGTTTTGGTTAGATAGTGGTTTGCCCCATAGTAGGATGAAATACAATTTATATACACAAAGAAACAAGTCTCTGCAGTCTTTGCAAAGGTCCAGTTTCAAGAGTGCTGCCATGCTGGGGAAGGTTGCCGTGAGCCTGCAGCACTCCCCTCTCCATGCAGCACATGATTCACAGCTTGTGAGGCTGGGCATTCCCCACCCATGCCTTGGCAGGAGGCGAGTCAGAGGGATGATGAATCCTTGGAAAGCAGGCGGGTTCGCATGCGTCTGCAGGATTCCTAGAGCAAAGAATTAGAGCAATGGAATGCTCGAGACATACAATACTGCACAAGAACAGGTTAACATGCTGTCCTCTCCCTGCAAGGATTCCCTCCCTGGAGTCCATCCCACACCTTTTACCAAATCAGGACACTAGACAAGAAACAGTGAGCAGACAGGGACCAATAAAGCAGGTGGTCTTGGGCTGCACCAAATTCTTGTCCTGCTGCCACCCTGACAGGCTGTTATAGCACTGCACCGTATTGCCAGCTTCCCTCTGCTTCCTGTGACAGCCACCATGCTAGCTCATAGGTAGGAGGGCTGAACACACCTGCTTAGGTGAAACCCGTCAAGGCTTGGCTTCCAGCTTTGCCAGCTGCCTGCAGCTCGGCATGGAGCAGACTGCTACAAATCAGGGGACAGCAGTTATTACAGAGCCTTACATGCACTCTGTCATCTCTGCAGGCATCAGAGCCCATCAGGCCAAGCTCCCTACAGGAAGAAATAAGTCTCACCTCTCTTCTGCCCTCCAAAGTTTTCAGCTTTGCTTGGGACATGTGAGCAGGAGATCCACATTTCTGTAACTGAACAAGAGAAGGGAACAAGAGTAAAGAGCTGGGGAATGAAGTGGCATCCACAGCCTGTACCACCAGAGAGCAGCTATCACTTAAATCCACTGTTGGTCCCCAGGGCAGGAGCACAAACACAGGGGCAACACTGGAGTGGAGGCCCAGTGCTGCCACCCCTGTCCCGATGCTGCTCTTGCCATCTGCTCTGCTTTCACAGCAGTTTCCCAAAACCAAGATTGCACAGCATAAACTTGGAAACCTTCTCCTGGGCAGAGAACAGCAAGCAGGTCCCCAGGGATCACTGAAATGAGTGCCCAAACTGCACTCAAACACCCCTCACACACTTCCCCGCCAGCAGCTTTAACAGTGCTGGGGGCAGCTCTTACCAGATGCACATTCTCTTTGCTGACTCGCTCAGGCTCTGGTGTGGTATCCCTGCTCTTCCTCTCCAGGATAACCGGGGTTCCCAAAACTTTTCGCTGCCATAATAAGAGAGGGCTGTTGGCTAGTGCTTAGAGTGCAAAGTGAAAAGCAAAGGAAAGGAGCAGGATGCATTGCTGGTAAGCAGTTGGATGCTGGGAAAGAAAAAAGGAAGCCAAGCTGGGACAAAGACTGTAGAGCAGAACCATCTGAAACACTGTGCCACTCTGCTGAGCCAGCCGATTGTAAAGGGTTTGGGATCTGACCTGAGGCCTGGCCAGGAGCCCAGCCTGTGATAAGCAGGTACATGCTGCCTGTGGGGCAGCCTACAGTGTACTAACATGCTACCATAACTACATGACCAGCTCCCCGCCAGTCCTCATCTCATCTTGGGAAGCAACCAGTCCTTCAAAAAGATGCATAGATCATACAGCCATGTGTTTCATACATGATTATGCTTTATACTAACAAGGGTTTATTGTCACTGTGCTGCCTTTTCTGTCCCCAGTGGATCTGTGTTCCTTGGCAGCCAATACTCTGAACAGTCCCTACCCTTTGACAATCTCATTCAAGCCAGGGGAAGGCAGAAGCAGAGAGCAATATCAGAAACTCACAGAAGAGAGCACAGGTCAGAGGATGCCTTTACCTTAATGAGGCCGCTGAAGGAGCGCGAGCGGGTGCGTCGTGGTGCTGGGGATGTAGGTACCTCAGAGCCAGGAGTCAGAGCTGTAGGATGCTTATTAAACTAGGAAGAAACATGAGGGCAGTATGTTAGCACAGTTATACAGTTGCTCTACCTGTTGCCCTCTGCCTAGAACTCAGTTTGCCTCTTTGGCACTCCAAAAGGGAGAAGCAGTTCACTGCTGCAGGGAGAAGAAAGCGGAGGAAGGCAACATCTCCAACCCAGGGTTACAGGGAGCTTGGGTGTGAGGATGCGTTATGCTGGCTACCAGATTAGCCAAAAGCAGCAGGTATTGGAGCAGAAAGGGGGTTGGGCAGCAGCTGGAGACTGGCAACCAGAGCTGGTGCTGACCATATCAACCTGTCTCTGGAGCAGCAGGTTGCTTGGAAATGCTCATGGGACTGAGAGGAGACAAGTCTGCCCACCTGCTACAGGCAAGAAGGGACAAGACTTTTCCTTTTCTGAGGGAAGATGCTCAACAAGGCCACAATCAGGACTGCAGAGCTGCTGACTGGAAAGTCCCTGGCTTGGAAAACAGATTGCTCAAAGCACAGCTTGATGCAGCAAGCTCCATGGTGAGCCACATCCAGGACAGGCAGCCTCCTCCCCTGCTTTCTTACAGCTTTGCCCCCTACACAGCACAGAGCCACCTTCCCAGCCTGCCCAGGATTAGGAGCAGCTATCAAGGCCCTGCCTTTAGCTTTGTGCACAGGATTGTGCTGACAAGCACGCCCCAAAGATATCTTTCATCCCCACACTACCTGCCGGATAAGCTTCTTCTTCTTTGCAGAGTCAGGCATATTGTTGACATGACGGAAGAGCTCCTTCAGTGCTTCCTCCGTGCGCTGCTGGGTCTCCTCCTGATGGCAAGTGTCCAGCCGGCTTCGCTTCTGAGACTTGAGGGGCTGCAGCTCCTTGGAGCCAGGAGATGTCAGCAAATCCAGGTCGTCCTGGGAAAGCGGAGACAGCAGTTGCTTGCCATGCTTTAATCCAAATGAGCCACCCATCTGAGCCAGGCTGTGAAGTCTCATGAGCTGACTCAACCCCAGTGAATGCACAGGGCTGTGTTTTCCCTACCCCTCTGCAGCAGCACTGCACCAGCAGGCCCTGTGCCAGGAAGAGGTGACAGCAATGCAAAGGTGACCCCATTGTTTCTTTCCTCCCCTCACAGATGCCAGCTGCAGAAGCCCTTCCAGGCTTGAGAAGGGTCAGTGCAGCTCCTTGCAATTCATCTTCCCTCTTCTGGAGCTATATGAGGCAAGGAAGCATTTGCTGGCAGCGCAGGCAAATTGGTCCCAGTGGCAGCAAGAAGCCTTTATCCCAGCCCCACTTCCAAGCAGCCTGGCCACTGCAGCAGGTCTGTTTGGAAGGCATAACCCCATGAAGGAGCAGGTGCTGCATGTACTGGGCACAGAGAGCAGGTTTGCTGCTAAACAGGGGCTGGTAGCTTGCTTTCCCTGTGCTTTTGATTAACAGATGCTTCAACTCTGCCCAATTTCCCTAATGCAGCCACCTGCACTACTGCACCATATGGTTCCCTCGCTCCTGCTCTCTGAGAATCTTTAATGACTTGGTTTGTTTTCAGCTTCTTTCACTCGCAAGAATCCATTCATAGTACTACAGCCTCTGCCTTCATGGAGGGCAGGTGCTGCATTTGCTGGCCTTACCTTTGATGTGTGGGCTCTGGATCCCAGATAGTGCAGCCTGGCACACTCCCTGATGTATGCTGGGGCCTGTGATGATGAGAGAAGTATGTTTAGTATGTGTTGGCTCCAGCAAGAGCAGCACTTCAACCATACACACACACCACTTCCATTAGGACTCAGCCATTCACGGCAGACAAAGCAATGGCATTTCATGTGCTCAGTGCAGTCCCTGTTCACAGTTCCCTTTGATGCAGGCAACCAGCACAAGCGCAACACAGAGTAAGAGCAGGGTTCCACAGGAACTTTCTCCAAGCAATTCTCCCAGCTCTGAGCTAGCCAAAGAGGAGCCTGAGAAAGAGGGCAGAAAGGAACTTCCTATGGGAGGACTCTTCAAAGAGCAGGTGCCTACAGTACAAGGAAGGTCCCGAGAAGTCACAACACTGCCTGTTGCAGAAACACTTCCTTGGGAGAACCTGCAGAAAGCCTCATGCTTCTGACTGTGCAGCCACAGCCCCCGGCTCTGAGCTAGACAGGGGCCCAAGACTGCAGGGGTCCCTGTAACAGCAGTAGGTTGAGGAGGTCACAACAAAATGACCTACTGCATGAAGCATTCAGCTCTTGGCAGCACTGACCCAGGAGAAGTCCCTTCAGTTTCCTTATCCTGCCTGATCCCGAGGGGAGCTGAGTGGCTCCGTGCCCCCAGGAGCCCCATTTCCCAGGCGGGCAGCACTTGCTGGGTGTCCAGCAGAGGGTGGTGTTACACTGCACCGCGCTGCTGACCTGCCAGGCAAAGCCACCCCTGGGATGTCGTCCATCTCCTGGGCTGCCTACCCAGCAAAGACCTCCTCCCTGCAAACTAAAGGAGCAGTTTCTTGTAGAAGTCCTCCTCCTCCTATTGTAGAAGACAACACCCAGAAGATACACTTGACACCTGGGATCTGTCTGGACAGGGGGCATTCAGTCTCCTGCTGAAGGGCCAGGGAAAGCGAGACCCCAGAGGCACACTTACCTTGAAGAGCTTTTGAGAGTGTTTGATCATGAAGGTCACTCCATTGTTTAGCTTGGTAATATTCTCCTGAAGGTCATTTGCTGTCACCTGGCAAGGGGAGACAGCCAAAGGCACAGCAGTTAGAAGGGGAGGAGGAAGGGTCTCTGCTGCCCTTGCTGTTTCTGGGACATAGACACACAGCGCCTCAGCAGAAGGCCTGCTCTAGAGGAGGTAGGCAGGCAGGGCTCAGAGCACATCAATAACCAGAGCTCACAGAGCCAAAGCTGCTCTGGAAGGAGGACAACTAGACTGCTCTGAGGCCAAACAGTTCACAAACAGCACAAGAGAGATCTGCAAGGTTTCTCTGGAGTTAGGCTTAAAAGAAGTAGGACTGTGCTGTGCTTTCAATTGTACTGAAAAAGATGAAGCATCAGTTGCAAACGAAACCTACAGCAGGTCTGGACTGAATGCTAGGACTGAGTCCTGCCAGGAAGCTCCAGCTCACCATTGCACCCTCCCCAACCCTCACACCACTGTATCAGTACTTAATCTTCCCATCTTGGTTCTTCCCCTATAAGCCTGCCAAGGCTCTGCCTTCTACTTTGCAACATCCTACCCACACATACTGTGGCATTGCTCACATTTCTGGGCCAAAGGATGTGGGGTGCAAACATGAGGGCAAGATTGTGGGCAGACATCTTGTTCTTGTCCTGCTTCTTGGCGGTCTGGTAGAGCAAGTCCAGCAGCAGTTTGAGCAGACTGCGGTTGGGTGCAGGAAGGATCAGAAACAGCAGCTGGAGGGCTTCAATTTGGCGCTCTTTGTCTGGAGTGCTGGTCTTATTGCCCTTCTCATCAAACAGCGTCAGGTCTGCCAAATCACAAGGCAGAACATGGACACACATTACATTCCCTAACAGCAAGCCTATTGCAATGTTTACCCTTCCCTCTTCATATTCACATCTCCAAACACCTTCACTGTTGTCCTGAACCCATGACAACAGTTCTCTCCCCGCCAGATCCTAAGCTGATGTGTTAATATGTGGTACTCCTTCCAGAGGACAACACAGTTGCTAAGAGCTGTGATGGGCTAAAGGCAAAATGGAGAAGTTCAGATAAGGTAGTTCAGTAACAGCTATTATGTACACAGAAACCACACCTTGCTCAGGAGACACCTCAGGCTTAAAACAGATGAAGATCCAGGTTACCAATGTGGGCTCCACTCCTGTAGGTGTCTGTTTACTGCTGGAGGGGGAAGACTGGGCTAGACGATCTGTCTGATTCCTTAGGATTTTCAGCTCCAGTCTTTTCACCATTAGGCTGAGGTTGCAGGAAGATTCATTCTTACTCGGCCTTTAAGGATTACACTTCACAACCTACTGTGCAGCTCTGTAGCATTACCAGCTTTTGAGGAGGTTAGTTCAGTTCCCTCTGCTCATGTCTGCCTCTTGCTGATCGCTCACCTGCAATTTTGAGGTGGGCATGGAAGTGCTTGTGTGTGAGCAGTGGCTCTGGTAATTCACCCAGGAACATCTTGAGCAGGGTGGCGACATCATTGGAATGAAACTCCCCAGAATCCAGGTCAATATCTGTACCACTGTTCAGAGCATCCTTTAGGATCTGTTGCCTGATGCTGTTGCCTGGCACCCGAAACAAGCCTTCTGCTCTTAGATCTGCTTGGCATAGAGGAGAAAAAAGGCCACTGATTAACAAGAGGCTGATTCCCATCTTCTCACCAAAGCAGCTCCATCCCCTTTCCAGAGCTTGACAAACAAACCTCAATGACCTGCATTCAGAGACATGACTTCAAGCTGGCTCCATCAGTAGAAAAAGTCCATGCACAGAGGGAAAGAGATTAACATATTTGCTAGGCAACTCTGGGGAGCAGTCACACACAGCCTCAGCCTCCTGCTGCTGGAGAGCTCAGAGCTTTTCAGTCTCTCTGAATCAGACACCTGAGGTGGGCAGGACAAATACCCCTTGGGATAGGAAGACAGCAAGACAGAGTCACTTACTTTTGTGCAGATACTCAATTAGTTGGGAAACCTGTGCAATGCCTTCTTCTGTCAGCGGTGAGCCAAACACCACCCCTTTCTCTGCAGAACAGAAGATAACAAATGTATTCAGCAGCTCAGAACCCAACAGCCACAGAGGTGAGTGGTCCCCAAAGAACAGGATCTCAGCATGCAAAGACCAGTGCCCGAAACGCCAAGGGTGGTGGTCACAAGGACTCCCACAGATGTGAGATATCACAAGCACTCCAAAATAAGTCAATCTCACCATGCTGTACTTACAAGGACTTCATCATTGTGTTTCTTACCTCATCTTAATTACAGTTTTTTTATCAGCTAAAGCAAACATTGTATAGTTCCTGAAAAGAAAACAACACCAGAACAAATGCTTCAGTTTTAAAGGGCTAATCATCTGCAAGCCTGAACCTTATGGAAAGACCGAAGTGGGAAGGGCAGATGTGACAGCCTGGACTGCCTGGGTGTCTACTGCATTATCCCATTCCGCAGCTGGGAAGCCAAGTCCAGATTAATCCTCACTGGCTTGACATGGAGTGAAGCAGAAAGAAGAGGTGCAGCTATGAGTCTATGGGAGAGCAGAACAAACACTACTGGAGAAAGCAGACATGATCTGACTGGCTCACACTGACCTTCTTTTCAGGGATGGCTAATCCCTGGAATTCCCCGATCCCAATGAATCTCTCTTGCATGTCAGCTGCCCTGGCCTGAGTACAGTAAAGTACAAGGGCTGAACAAGGGAGAACTATTTAAAAAAAAGAAAAAAAAAAAAAAAAAAGAAAGGACAGTAGCAAAACAATGAGCTGGGCCCTTCTCCATATGGAACACTGACAGCTCCTCTCACTCCTGGAGTTTGCTTTCATCTCATGTGGCTGTTACAGATGGGCAGGAGCTGCCAGCTCCAGAACTCCAGTGAATAACAGAGGGTACAGCCCCAAAAGAAGATGGAAGCAACTGAGCTGAAAGGAAGGAGGAAACATTAGGTGAGAAGCCCATCTAATTGAAAGGCACTCATTGAACCAATGCAGAAAAACATTCCTGATCAGAGAGGGGGCTTCCCAGGAAGACAGTGGTTATCAATATTGCTAATAAATGCAGTCTTGCTGGTGAATGGCTTTTTCCATCACATACACACAGCCAGCACACTCTGTCCCTCAGAACACTGAGGCAACTCCCAAGGGCTACACTGGCAGTAACCAGAGCCCTGAGCACGTCTTTTTCCCTCAGATGCATGTAGATTTCAGCTGCAGCTAGAGACAAGATGCTGTTAATAATAACAAGATAGATGATAACACACCATGCTGACTGGGACTGGGGACTGGAACCAGGACCAGAGCTGCTTTGTCCTGCCCTTGCACTAAAGCTTCAAAGAGCCAACAGATTTAAGAAGAGGCTGTTCCTCCCTTCTTCCATGATGAGGCTGACAGGAGCATGGGCCACTTCTGTGGGCAAGTTGGGCATCATAACCCCAGCTTTCTGTGGCTGAATATTTCCCTTCTTACTGTTACAACTGATAGTCCATCAACCCAAACAGTGCATTGGCTGGTCTGATAAAAATTATGTCCCGCACAAGCTTCCTCTTGCCTTTCCCCCCCATAGTATGTTTTGATTTTACTAGCTTTTGGTCTGTTGTACTACAGACGATACTGTTCTGTGGTGCTGATGCTCACAGCATGTGGAAAGACCTGGTTAACCCTGCGCACTTCTTCAGCAGCCTTCCCGTGCAACTAAATTTATTCCACCTGAAGAATGTTCTGCTTTCTTCTAGGACTTCTGAAATACATGGGAAGCCACCAGGAACTTCAGCATTCTGTTAAATCAAGAACGTTCTGACCTCCCTCTGATAACAAGCATGCTTCAGTCTTGCAGGAGAAAGGAGGGTGATGTGACCTCTTGATCCACACACACATAAGATTGAAAGGCCTGAGTGGGAAGAGGTAGAACAGCTGGCAAAAGATTCTCATCCTTGAAGAAAACTGAACTCATTAGACATTCAATAGGTAGAATCAATAGTGGCCAGGAAGAGAAGAGGAAAAATACAACATCTTGAGACATGCAGGGCCTGGCAAATTATATTTACCTTTGAAGTCAGAAGTTGATATCTGAATGAGAATTAGATTCTCAAAGAAACTTGAAAGCTGTGTTTGGAGAATGGATGTTGAGTTATGGAAGGCTTAGATGTTATTGTATGATTGCTTCTGAAACTAAGAAGCAGCATGAGATTGAGTTTCCTGATGCTCAAAGAAGTTGTAAGTATTTGCAGTTTGATCAGTTCTGAGCTCTATGGTCCTCGGCCTCTGGCTTTGAAGAAATAAAAGCTGTTTGTTCTAGCTGGTCTCTAACACGAAGGAAAACAAATGATGGCTCCAAGATAAAACACACAGTACATGAAACTGATTTTCTCTGCAGGCACAAACTTCTTTTTCTCAGAGTTCAGCCAAGGAGTTCACAGACAGTGCCTGTCAATGCAGGGAGACTCTGCCATTGCAGCCCGGGAGCACAGCCAGCAGACTTGGAAACATCTGCTCACCCTAGCTGTAGTGAGACACATGGCCATGGAGACATCTGAATGGGGAAAAGCGGAGCTCTTGGGGAAGAGAGTTAGCAGGAGATGTCAGGTCTGATAAGAGCAGTGCTCCAGCAAAGTACAGATAATTTAAAAACACGAGCTAGAGAAGGCTCATAGGCCTCTGCTAGAAGAGTTTTGATAAACACATGGAAGTTTCCATACACACCAGGAGAACACTTTCAACTTGGTTCATTTCTGTTTGTCAAGTGAAAAGTGTCCTGCTACTCTCTGAGAACAGAGGCAGGACGCACTACCAGGTATGAGCACAGCCTATCTTCAGTCTGAGGGCAGCATAAAGACCTGTTATTATGGAGCAGCAAGGCAATACTGAATAATTCTCGCCTAAGGGTGTTAAAGGACTTCACTTGCTGTACTGTATTTTCCCCTGCAGTGCTGTCCAGCCCAGGGTGAGTGTATCTACCAGGTTCCTACTGGTTGAGCCAGGAGTGGGGTCTGAAGTTATCACCAGAAAATTCAGCCTGAGCAGTGGGGCTGCAGAGCTTGTCCTTATGAAACACAGTGGAGGAATAGGTTTGGTTGAATGAGAAACACTTAAGAGAAACTATATAAAAGTTGAATAAAAAAAAAAAGCCATACTAGGGCATAGCGATAGCTCCCTTCTCAGAGGTACAACAGCAAAATTGCTCAAAGGAAGGGGAAGACTAATTAGAAGTGCTCAACCTCAGGCTGCCAACATCTGAAGGCAGCTACCCACAGCTTCTCTGCCAGCAGACAGCCAGTCTAGCTAGGAAACCAGAGCTGATGAGGGATGTGAGAGGTGCCCAGATGGAGGCAGTTTCTGTCTAGATGAGTGAGGAGGTTTAACTGAAATTACCAGGAGAACCAGACTCCCCTTGAGTGTGGACAGAGGTGGAAGAAGGCAGGCAGACACCTATAACAGCCTTTTATATACAGCAAACCAGTGATAAATGCCAGCCATTGAAGAGAAGATCTGAACACAACTGTGCTCAAAAGCAAATCTCAGACTTCTGAGAAGAGGCCTAGGGCTAATATTTCATAACCAAGAGAGCTGAACTTGAAAGAGAAGATACGAATAGTCTGTTTACCAGAAGAAAACTCCAGCTGAATTTTGCCTCAGAGTGAAAGAGAAATATGTCATCTTTCAGGGCTGACTCTGGGCTTGAACAGTGTCAATCTGCAGAGCTTTGATACTGACTCACTGGATTGGGATGGGGATCAGAGTGGCACTGGCATTTGAATGGGAGATGCTTACAGATTTTTGAGCTGCTCAGACAAGACCTTCCAGAGATCTGGGACAGCAACTGAAGGAAACATCAGGCATTGAGTGAAGTCAGTGGCCTGGAAAACCAGGGTGTTATTGTTCTTCATAGAACCTGATGCTCTCAGCCTTTACTGATATTCTGTCACAAAGAAAGCTGATGATCTAAGGAAAACAGAGTATGGACTCCCATAGACAAGCAGAAAGATAAGGACATCTTGGTGTGTGTTGGAAGAACCTGCAACTTGTTTAGGCACCCCTCTCCAGCTCAGTGCTATCCAAGCCAGACCAGAAACACTCAGGGACCAAAGCTGTATCTTGGTGGCATGCAGTGCACTGAGCACACCATCAAGGCCAGCCTGTCAGAAACCACAGCAATAACCCCCAGGAGGAGGGTACTCTAGAAGTGGCAGGACATTTCCAGGGTGAACTTCCTGGCCATTTGCTCCTTTCCAGAGGTACCATTCCCAGAGATTAAAGCCCTATAGTATTCAGCATTCAACACAAACACAGAACAACAGGCCTACACTGGAAGTTTTGTAAACTACATGTAACAGATGATGACAGCCAGCATCACCCTAAATGTGGGCACCAGGCATCATGCCATACTCACCCTTTCGCTTCAGAGACATCAGAGAACGAAAAAATCCAGAGGCTGTGCTGTTTGCCCCAGGCAGCTTTGGGTCTTCCTCTCCCATTAGCTGGGCAAGCTCTGCCCCAGGCAAGTCAATGAGCCTGGTAATATTGCTGACAACAAGCTCTGTGAACACCTCTGGTTTTTCATGGCGCAGCTTTTCCACAAAGAAGTCAGGGTTGAAGATGATGGGCTGGCTGCGGAGGGAGGAATCATTGCAGATGACAAAACTGCAGATGGCATCACTGGAAAAGAGGGAAGGAGAAAAAACCCACAGTAACTCCTCATTACATTGATTTTTACAGCCAGCTGGTCTGCCCTGAAGGAGACATGTGCTGACACAGGAGCCACCAGTCAACACCAACAGTACTGTCTGTCTTTAGTGAGAGTTCAGTGCAGTGCACTTACATTTCCCTTTGGAGCAACAACATTTCTGGCCTGCCTGTACAACACAGCCCAAGACTAGCACTCCGTAGTGTGATGGTACCATACGCAACACATGGCAATCCCCAAGTAGAACTTTCACTGCATCTATATCCTGCCAGCTCAGGCTGATGACACCCAATACTTTACATTAACTTACCACTCCCAGTCATAAATAAGTTTGGCTCTTTCTTCCTTCCTCCCCAGAAATTCACTCCCAGTGTCCTAAAAGCCTAAATCCCAATTTAAATTTTTTCATGGACAGTTTATACTCCTCAGTTCCCATTGCCGTTCCATTATCCCTACCTTCCTATCAACACAGACATAGTTCACATGCCCTGGAACTTTAAGATCATAAGCACGCAATAACACTGACCCACAGTTCTTCTAGGGATGTGGTCAAGCCCTCCCAGGTGACAAACTGCCTACAGTTTGGTTACTGCTTCCAGCCACCTACAATAACTGCCCAGCTATGCACTCCCAACTGCAGAATGAGCATGGACTCATCAGTATTAGCACAAGCTACACAGTCTTTGAGAACCCCTAGTAGCCCTTTTCCTAAAACATCTCTTTCTGGCTCAGCCAGTTCTTGTCTCTTCTTCAGGCTGTCCTGAAGCAGGCATTCTCTACTGGTGCTTGCTTTTTCCATTTCTCATGTGGCATGGGAAAAAGGATGTGTCTGAGACACCGCTCTACTGAGTGTTATCTGTAACAGATACTCAGCCTTACCACAGGTTAGGTAAGCTGTATTTATCATGTCTAGAATCAAAATAAAGAGATTATCAAAGAGATATCTCAGGTTGATCAGCACTTTTAATGCTCACACTTGAAGCTTATCCCAATTTTCATCTACCTCTAGGTCTTCCCTCACCATCTTCCCACCACTGTTTCAAACACTCACACACTTCTGAAGCCTAGTTTACAGGCTAGAGTTGCCCAGCTTGCTTCTCCTGTCCCTCTTTTACTTAAATGTGAGGATTAGTGTCATTATTCTCCAGTCACAAGCTACTGCCCTGGTGCCATACTATAAAGTACTGTATGCCAGTTCTTCCAGGGCTCTGGGTGGAGGCTGCCTACCCACCCAGCTTACACACGCCGCATGCTTTCACTGTGTGACATTCCCCAGCCCTTTAATCATTTGCTTTCCACCATTCCAACATCCCTCCTTAGCTGTGAGCTTTCACTGAACATAGGTAACAGAAATGCCCCCCCGACCACATAAGTCCCTTAGGAGTGAAAAGAAAGAACGTGCTCTGCCAAAGGCTTTCCTTCCAAAGCTTTCCCACATAACACCAGAGCAACTTGACCTGCCTCTCCTCTGCTGAGGGGTGGAGGCCACATCACTGTATTCAGACCACACTGGGCATCTGTACTCACTGCTCAGCACATCTGACACCAAAAGCATTTGCAACCCACTGGACCTTACATTCTTTGGTTCAAGCAACAGAGCACTTCAGCCACTAGTTCAGAGATCTCAGTAACTTATTGTTCTGATGTAAATCAAAAGTAACTGATGAATGGGAGGACATCAAAGCATGTACTGACAGGTCACCTGAACTCCAGCCTGCCTCCACGCCATATCTGTGAGCCCAACAGTTATCTGAGCTACTGCTGTACCTCTTTGACCTGAAGAACTTCTTGGTGTGACTTCCCGAACGCGTGATCAGAGTAAGAGAATGAAAGCTGTGACTCGGGCTCCACAAGGAGATTTCAGATTTGCTGAAATCAGAGGAAACCCAGCTCTCAGCAATGCTTGCATTGTGAGAATCCATACAAAACCCTCTCCTCTTGCCACTGCTCCCCATGATGTCAAAGGCTCCTTCAAGAGGACAGTGAGGAGGAAGGTCTGGGAGGCAGATTGCAAGGCACCCTGCCAGGTCATCTGAAATTATGGGGAGCTCTTAAAGGCTCCCATCTGCGTGGCGCAGAGCAGCCCAGCAAGCGTGCTGCTGGCTCCAAATGGGGGCCACGTTTTCCTGAGCACCTCCCAGCCTGGTTTTCGGCAGTTCGTTACCTGCAATAAATCAAGACCGAAATGCAACAGCGCGGTATCGGCTGCCAAAAAAGCAACTGCCAATCGATCTGATAGTATTTGTGTTTCATTGCACAGGGCTACAATGCATAAACAAGTGCCGGCTCTGCCCATAATGCGGAGCAAGCCCTCGTCCTGAAACCCATGACAACTCATCCTGTGGCAATACAGATCCTGAGAAGGGTTAATAGCAAGTGTATAGGCCCAGTGACCCTGCCTGCAATGATCCGTGCACTGTTATTCACTCACTAGCAGTTTTGTTTCCCCACAGAGAAGATATGCAAATACTTTGCAGCAGTTACATCAAGCATTACAGATTATCTGCTCTCTATGACAATTAGATATCTAGATTCAGAGAACAGAAATTAAGCAATTTCATCAACTAGAACAGACTGACATGACTCCTCTGCACAGCCCCTGGTATGAGCCACAGAAAGTTTAACAACATTTAATTCAGAAATAAATAGATAAAAAGTAAATTTCTTACATGAGTGCTGAGAGCTTTTGGAGAGGCATTAGGAAGCAGAGACAGGGAAAAGAACTTGCTCCTTGTTTCCAGCAACAAAAGAAACCTGCCTGTCCCAGCACAGCCTATGCAAATTCCACGCATGCTACGAGACACAAGGGCGCATTATTGGGTCTGAAAGGCCCCCTTGGCACACACTGGGCATCAGCCTTCACACAGAGACAAAACAGAAAAGAAAAGCTGGACAAATTGATTCATGTCTCTTGCCAAAGGCTGCGTAGCTGGAGTTTAACGGCAAATAATTCCTACATAGTAACCAGGGTTCTGAATTAGGAGCAGTGTGGTATTACGTGCTCTCCACCTGTATCCAAGAGGAATCCACAAAATAGCTCCAAAGCTACACTGCGTTTACCATGAGTAAAGCCACACAAACAATATTCCCAACAGCACCCAAGCACAACTGATGTTACGGCACTGTCAGGACGATAGCGGAGTCCCTTAACTGCACAACCCCATGGCCAGAAACCTTCCTAGAAACACTCTCTGCCCCTGCCTTGCATTCTTTTAGATCCTTTCAAAGACAAAGCATGTAGATCACCCCCTTCACAGCTGGGAACAGTACCATTGCTCTTTGCTACCATTACTGTGCCACCATGTGCTGTTCGTCCACTTCAGGCTTCCCGTTCCATGTTTCTCTAGATTCCCATCCAGTTTCCCTGCCTGCCGCAGCTGGGACCAGCCTTGTATACACTTATTGTGGTATGGCACTTCAATGAGCTACTTAATTTTGAAAGGTCACTTTATTAGCAGCTCTTCCTCGCACAGAAAATTTGCCTTTGTATCATTATTGCTAATCAAAATGGAAATGTGAAGCAAACCACTATTTCTGAGCAAAGATAAAGCTCCCACTGGCTTTACACACAATAACCCTGCCAATCCTCACTGCTGCACACACTACAACCTTCAGAAAAAGCCGTGTGCCCCATCTGCTGTTTTCATGTTAAAAAAAGGAAGATGGATGTACTCTACCTACACTCACAGTTTATATATCAGCAGCAAAGGGGAGACAATCGTGTACTGAGGGATTTCTTCTTGTTTTTTTTTTGGTTTTGCTTGCAATTACACAGTTAATATTTTTCTATATGCTGCGATCTCAGACTGCTTTATGACATGTCAAAAAGACGATAAAATAAAGGAATAAATGGCTTCCTCTCTGATCCCATGAATAAAATCAAATCCCAAAGAATAATGAAATCTTGTACTAAGAGGGTTGTGATTAAGACAGCAGATTAAAAAAAAATGGGTCCTATATTGTGCTGAGATTCCTGCCATTCTGGTATCTTTCAGAAGGCGAAGCCTGTGATCCCAGCCAAGTCACAAAGAAAGCTGTCTGTCACACACAACATTCTTGCTTCAGGCATGACAACCCCATCATTTCATGGGGAGTGGATGGTGCAGGAGGTCAAAATCATGATGAATCAATTAATCCCTAAAGTAACTAGATCCAGGCCAGGGAAATGCCTTGGAAACTAGGACAAAAATAAGACTTTAACTGGGCAAAACCTGGTGATTGACCCTGTGGTGCAAGAGCTGTGCAAACAGGCAGATTAGCTCACGTGGCAGCAAGCTTGCATTCAGATAGGTGAGACCTAACTGTTTTAGTGGCTTTTACAGATTTTGTATTGTTCTAACTCCACCCACGTGAAGGCAGAAACAGGTTCAAGCAACATGAAATACAGCCTAAGGAGAACATAATCAGTCAAAAAGGAAAAGGGGGCTGTGTTTGTTTAGCTGAGAAAGTGGAAAAACTGGAAACTGCAGATTTCAGATGAACCTGACGTATTCAATTCAGTGGGCAAGATCCATCTCCGGTGCAATTTTGCGCACTTGTATGTCATCGCTGAGGAGCTAACACTTCAGACACACCACAGTAGGCTAGTTTCGCTGTAAAACTCACGAAAGGATTAAAGAGCTTTTGAAAATAAGGCAGATAATAGAAGAAAATCTCCCTCTGTAATAACAAATCTTTCGTCTACAAGAAAAAGCCAGGCTGCTACCAAATACTGAGAGCAGGGAGATAAGCGGGCAGTGCTAAAGAACACAAAACATGAGCAATTCTTTGCCTGGCTAAGCACAAAGAGAGATGGGACAGATGTGAGCTGGCTCCTATTTCCCCAGAGAGAGAGAAGTAGCATCATTTCCTATCTCGTGCCAGAGTAAGGAATCAATTAATAAGGATGTCTGAAGACAGTATTTCCAGAGCCAGATAGGAGCCATCCCAGATTTTGCAAAGAGATGAAAGAACCATAGTGGAATTATGTGGAATCATTTTAACTAAAAAGGACTAGAAGACAAATTATTTCCCAGATTAAAAAAATAATATGTTTTAAAGAAGTCTAATGGGAATGGACTGCAGAGACATTAGAAGCGACTCCACAGCTGAGGTTGCTTTGAGGACTGTACTTCAGACTGACATTCTTGTAAGGTAGCGTAACAAAGATCACATTCAGGCCTCAGATTTGGCATAGCAGCTCTTCATAAGATGACTGATTTGCCTCTGAAAAATGTTAAGAAAAACATGCAGCAATTTTTGCCTAGGGTTATACTCATAAGGTCTTTAGGGGCAGAGTCCTTTTGTGATGAGTACACAGCACACAGCACAGTGGATGCCGATCCCTGCCTACTGTCTCTAGACTTCATACAAGTACAACATACTACATAACACTGCCTTTTTAAATTTTGCTTTGCTTTCTTCCCATTTAAAAGCTGACATGGAGTGATTCAGCCTTTTGGCTATGGGAAACAGATAATAATATGCAATTTAAACAGCAAGGAGCTGGGGAAGAAAGCTGCTATTATGCGATGGCAGCCTGTGCTGGACAATCTGGAACTAATGTAACACCAGGCCGTCTTTTAGACAGCGGGTAAATTGGATATCCCAGTCACTGCTGCAACCTATGAATTCAAATTCTGTCTCAGTAAAGGACTCAAAGCAGACCGCGGCAACACCAGCTACACATCTGCGGTGTGAACCTGGAGACGGACCTATCTGGGAAGATAAAAGGGTTGGAGGGGGCGGGTAGGAAGTGTGCTTTGGAAGAAAATGCAAGATATTGCCAGTGTCAGAGAGAAATGCAGTAGCGAGACAGCCTGATATATGTGAAGCATCAAGAAATTTCCATTTCAGCATGAAATTTCTCAGCTTTGACCTCAGTGAATTCTTTTGCAATCTCTTTCATAATAGCCACTGGAATATTTTAAAGTCATCAAAGCAGTACTTCAATCAGCCATCACCACAACATCCGAGCATCCAGATGCGTTCTAGTGCTAAGAGGCGCCTCAGAGAGGAACCGTATGTTCACAGCGGTGCTCCTCACCAAGTCTTCTTCCCAGCACCAGCAGCACAGCTTTGGACGATCCCACGCTGTGCGGCGGGCTCAACCTCCTACCCAAGGCTCTGTAAAAATGCAGGAACACAGCTACTGCCAGAAACCCACCAATTTTACATTAAGGATCTAGCAGGCTCATATATATGCCTTAGCATCAGGTTAACACAGTCTAACAGTATTAAACAGCAGTGCTACTCCAATTTTCATGACTTTCAATACAGTCTAAAGTTTGTGTCTTTATTTTAATATAAATCCCTACTGGGAACAGCAATAGAAGAGGAGCCTTAGATCCAATTTCACTGAAATCAGCACCAAAACTGAATCTTTTTAAATGGCAGCAGCTGCCTCTTCTCGTTGCTGATCTATTCACTTTTATCACTGTGGCATTGGGAACCTTGGTCACAGCTGGGGACTCCACTGTGCTCCATGCTGTACAAACACAGAACAAAGGCAATACCCCGGTCTTTAGAGGGCTGATAGCTAAATCTGAAATGAATGCTGGAGGGACAGAAAAGAAGGAATCCCAAGAGAAGAGCCAGCACTATCAGTCAGCATGACTGATATAACCAACCTCTGCCAGCTTTTCTGTAGACACTATTAAAAAGGAGGGAGAGGAAGGCCGGGTAAAATAATCAGGTCACACTGCAGACATTTAGAAGAAATCCAGCTTCTGCACGAGGGGCAACATGGGACTGAGCACAAAGGAGATGGTTTGAAAGCTATCAGGCAGGGACAGCTGGAACACGGGGCTGAGGATGTAAAAGCTGAGCTCCAGGCACTGGAGAGGCAGAGACAACAGTCCAGCAGTGCTGGAGGAGCCAGGCAGCACCACAGGGCACCATGTGGCTGCATCTGGACCCCTGCAGCAGGGTGGGAGGGTCGCAGCCTGAGGAAACTCTGTAGTCGCTTCCCACCACCCAGAACACGCTGGGCAGGAATGCTGCCTCTCCTCTGGGAGGTCACCAGGGCCTTGGGCTTGTCTGTAGAAACAATTTATGTGTTTTCCCTCCCCTAGTCATATAGTTCTAATCATGACAAAACAATGAATTTGGCTTTGCTTTATTTTACTAATTTAAGCCATTGTGAATAACGTACCATAGATTTGAGGTACTCTGTGGGGCCAGGTGGTAGCTGAATACTATGTCCCATGTCTAGTACAAGTATTTTAGGCCTTTTCTCCCCATGCACTAGAGAATTATCCACCAGGACCTTTGGCTACAAGTATAACAAACTACAAGGACACCTCTTCTTCCCATGGACCCTAACATCTGTCTTGTGTAATCTAAAATTCTTTATTGAACATCTGTCCATGGACTCTCACCAACTGACCACTCTTCGACTTTATTCCTATCCTAGGTAGGAAGTTTCTTCCCACTTTTGTTCCTTACCTGGAAGGACTGCAAGGTCCATGCATGTCTGTTGTATCCCCAAAGTGTGCCAATGGGTACTTTCCAGTTGCCAACAATGGTAGTATTCGTTTACTCTCATATTAAAATGTCTTTAACCTCTTTACTTCCCCATTTTGAGTGCCCTGGAAGCCAATAAGAGGCATGGCCCAGGCCTACCTTTACCTCCTTGGCCTCTAGAATTCAGAAATTGCTGCATCCACCTCTGATTGTCACCCTTACACTTGAAGATACGAGGCCAGAGGCAGCAAAAATGCAGTTTAGACACTAGCAAAGGTACATCACGTAGATGCTTCTCAATCTTGTGGCTCCAAGCCAGCGCCCAGGTCAGAGCAGATTTACCATCTATAAAGAGGAGCCTCACAGCAATCAAGTTTACTTCTAGCATGAAAAACTGAGCAATTGCAACATTAGCACAGCAAAATTAGCAACCTATTGCAGCAACTAGTGCGGGAACTCTGAGCAATCCAGCAAGGCAGAAAGGATGTTTTCCTCCAGCCCTCCCACAGGATGGTAATCACCCAAAATTGGTAGCACTAACTGGCGTCTAGAATGCATTTGGGAATCCCATCCCACCATCAACTGTCAGCACTTGAACAAAGCATCACAATGCCAGTGCTGCAACACTCACAGGGTCA